AGAAACTGAAAGATAGTGGTGAAGGTTCGAGGTAAGTGTCGTCAATAAGGCAAGAAAGCTGAAAGTAACTGCGATTAAGGTCAGCGCATTTATAGGAAAGCCCAAGGATATATATATATATATAATGTCTGAGGCCAGACTGTGCGCCAGATCAATCATGACACAATGACCTTTATGGTGGTATCAAGGATTTCATACAATGTGCGGGATGCTACTGAATATCGGAAATCCATTGGTGCTGTATATCATATAGTTTGCAAATTTTGTTTGGTTAAATTTATCCAACCCAGACGAGTTTAGCCACCATGGATGTCTTCGACTTGAAATTCAAAAATCGAATCAGAGAGTGCGGATATATCGGAAAAAACATTTTCCAGAGATCCAATTTGCAAGTTAACTTTGACACCCTAAGGAGTGTAGCAGGTTCATGGGGATATTCGGGGAATTTCGATAACCAGAACCTCGAGGTGCTTTGGATCAACCGTTACTTAAGGAGGTAAATATGCAATGGCCGAAAAAGACAGAATAATACCTGTCAAGAAGCACACAGAGAAAGAAAAGGGGGAGGTATTTCTACCTCTGGAAAAATCCGAAGACTTTTCACGTGCGACGTGCAACGACGTAACTAAGGTCATGGTATGGTTGGTCACACGGGTTGGGGCGGGCCTAAGGCAACTAGAATGCGGCAGCCTTTTTTGTTGTGAGCAATGGAGGGTTTGATTCAATTTCAAAGGTGAATTCGTCGTGTATATGGCAAATGAAGCATGAACTGAAAAGCTAGGAAGCACTGGACAGCTGTTTCGACCTAGTTGGATCTCATCAACAGTGCGAATCCATTGATCCAACTGGGGATCGAACCCGGAACCTCGCAGGCAGAGCGCAAGCCTACTACTCACTCTGCCAACGGGCAGCTGATCAGACCATTTTTGATTTTCCATTTACACGAGGTCCGTGGCTCGCAAGAAGCTAGCAGAGATTGGTTATGCATCGTGCATATTCTGAATCCACTCGAAACACACAGGTGGGAGGTTGGCTCCAGATAACGTAGTCGGAGTTCTTATACAACTAGCTTCGTGTCAAAAGACCCCACAGTCCATTGCCAATCACCGCCGCTCTCAATACACAGGTAAGATATAGTTCTCATAGAAGCTTCTCCGTGGAGAGGAGCAACCTACAATACAGGGGAAATACAACAAGCAACCATGAACCAAAAGGTGAGACATGCACAAGAATCATACTGAATTAAAAATGGCTACATCCGTGTTTTCACTACAGATTGGGGCAGTTATAAAATACATTCATTCATTAAAACGCATCTTTTGTTTTCTACTCATGTCATACATACATCCCAGAATTGTGGGGCATTCATGTAACAAACCTGAAATCAATGATTTTACTTCTCCTCTACTCCTTTTTCCATACCTTTCTAACTTCATATGTATCCGTTGTAACTTCAAGCGAATCCAACCAATCGCATTTCAACAGAAACCCCACAAGATGATTGGTATTTCAGCCATCATG